CTTGAGCTTCGTACTTTAGCAAGCATTTCCCTCTGGATGTCCCCATTGATACCCTTACATTTTAACACTTTTGGCTCCATCTTAACAGGACAAACAACTACCAAACTAGGTCAACCTTTCATCTCGAACTCCAATATTCCATGATCCAAAAGTTGTTGGACTCAATGCTTGAAGGCAATGTAATTTTCAATGGAATGTTCTTGATCTCCGACATGATATTCACAACGAACATTGACGTCATACCAATATGGATATGGAGGTTGCCAAAGTTTCATATAATGTGGGGCCACCTCTCGGCTTGGATTGAACTGGGGTCTTCAGGTTTATTCTCCCTAACCTTGGAAGTAGACTCTCAGACACCAACGAGCTTTGATTGCATTGCTTCTTCTCATCTTTCTGAACTTCCACCATTGTCACTATTTCCTTGTTGTCTCCATACAATTTGTTGATATGAATGGCGATTGTGCGTGATTTTTCAGATCGGCTAGAATCAACTTGTTCTAAAGTAATCCCTTATGTATTTGACACCGCGGGATTGTTTTCATCTAACTCTTTCTTCCTTATTGTAGAAGACTTTTTTCCTTTAGCCAAAACAGTTATTTTATCCATCATCTTGGACATTTACTCTCTTATGTCTCTTATCTTCTTTAGCTCTTCGTCGGACATATGATCTTCGGGTGCATAGCTCTCCACTATTCTCGGAGCTTCCTCAAGATGTCATTCCCTATCTGTGTTATTGTCTACTTGACCATGAAGCCCTTTGTCCATCATGAAAACCTTTTACTCTGATGACCACTCACAAGTCAACACCTATGAAAAATGTTATGATCATGTGATGCAAGCAGAAAGAAAAACAACATAAAAATGAGTTAGTGCAAATAATATAACAAAGTGACAAGAATTATTATAAAAGAAATAATAACAAAATAAATAAATTAATGAGATAATGCAAGACAAGAATGCAAATGCAAATGCAAATGCACAAGGTGTTAATTCCAAAAGCGACCACCATTAAACAATCTTCATCAGATAATGAGATTTCCTTACACTAGACAAACGGGCTTTATTTACTTCATTTACTGAGATAGTTGGATCTTTAGACCTCCATTTCTGTGGAATTCTTCGCGAGGAAAGCTGCCTTGATATCTCGTGTAGGATCTTCTCATTCTTGACACAACCAACATATGACTATTTGGTACCATCTCGATCTTCATTCATTTAATAGGAGTCGTCAATTGACTTAGGGCTCTTATTTTATCGATTAACTTTGTTTGTAAGTCGACGCCTTTATGGATTTGATTACCTAATTATGGAACTCTTATATCGATATGAAAACCTTTTAATTTGGTCAATCACTTATGGATTAACACATTGTTTGGTTATGATGTGAAAATGCAAATGCAAACAAAAGATAGATAAAAATAAGATAAAACAAAAGAAATTGTTAGTGTCATTCATCCAAAAAAGAAGAAAAAAATATTTACGAAAAGAAAAGATCCTACCCAACATGGTATCTACCTTGACATGCTTTTATAACAGTTCTACCCATACATGTTTTCTACCCCCATTCTTTGTTCAACGTATAAATCCTAACCTTATTTTTCTAGTTCACAGGCTTCATACAGAAATATAAAACCTAACCACATACTCTTCTAGTTCTCATGCTTTTTGCAAAATCAATAAATAAATCCGAGAAAAGGTTAGAGTGAGTTCTCCTTTATGACATTTTAAAGAACCACATATAGAATTTTGTTACAAAATAGGTAGAGTTTCGGTACTACTAAAAGGGTCATCGAATTGTCCTTTGCTGGTGCCCCATTGGGCCTGCCAGACCCTCTATCATCACCCATTATATGCTTAATAGGATCAAGTTCAATTCGAGAGGATGCATTTCCCTATGTCCATGCGAGGAAAATCAATGCTTCACTCGTAAACACAAGGTATATGTACCCAAGAGGTTACTTGCTAAAGCCCATACGGAGAAAAATAATTTTTCTCACGTAAGCGTAGCGTTCACCCCTACCTAACGGGACAAAGCACGGTTAGAAGGCTCTCACTATTTAAATGGTTATAGTGTGTGTGAGGGGGAACTCACAATCCTTTGCCTCGATAAAAAAAACAAACTTAAAAAGGTCAGAAATCTGAAACATGTAGATCGCACATTAGTACAACTAGTAAATAAAAGATGTATGATGTGATGCAAACAAAACATAAGGATCAAAATTTAAATATCATTCATATTTAACATTTTTAACTAAAAAATATGACATATAATCAATTACGACATGACTGTCTAATGTCATCAGCGGAGTTGCCAAGCTGTCGGAACGATCCTTAACCTTTTTGGGGCTATTACCGGGAGCGATCCAACTTAATTTTGGAAAAGATTGGGTTTTAAAATAAAAGAACACATAAATAGATTCAGAGTCGCCATTAACCTTTGGGTTAGGTATGTTGAATACCTAAAAATATCTTTTAATAATTTTTTTTTTAAAAAAAAGATAAAAAGTGATTTCGTTTAACCAGAAACTCGTTTTGAAAAGGGTTCGGGAGTCGATTACGCGTGGTGAAGGATTAGCACCCCCACAGCTCCCAAAATCGGTACCTAGAGATTATACATCATCTAAATTTTGAAATTTGCAAATTCGAATATACATTTAAATTATGATCCTATTAGAAAAAATTTCGAAAAGGGAATTATTTTGTACGGATAATCCTAAAAAACACACCCCTTATCAGTTAAGGCGTGTTTTTATGGATTCTCCATACAATAGGTCATTACCATGTATTGTTCTCTTAAATTGTATATTTGGTATATATATATATATATATAAAGGTAAATAAAATGAAAAAAAAGAAAGAAAATTAAAAAAGAGATATTATTTTGCATGGATAATACTTGAAACGCATTACTTGTTAGTTTAGGCGTGTTTTTATAAATTTCCCACACAAAATAATACTTTATGTACACATATATGACATAATACTTTATACAAACTTGTGGAAATCGTCATATTGTACATGCTTTTATCAAAACAATAATACATATATATATTTATATAAAGTGCAGATGACAACACTCGTTCATGTACTACGTGAATTATGAAGGGGACCTAAAGGTAATAAATATAAATATAGAAGATGATGTAGAAATAATGGAAACTTAAACAAACACCACAAATTGGTGACCAAGTTGACAATGTATTAACTTTAAAGGCAAAATAGAAAGATAAATGAAAATCATGAGAGCAAACATAAATGTCAATATTTATGAGCACCAAACCACAATAAGACCATAATACCATTCAAGACTAAAATGAAAGTTTAGGAAAATTATAAGAAAATGTAAAAAAGGCAACATAGTTTAAAGAAGCTAACACTTAGGATCAAGATGAAAAATGCACAAAATATAGGGCCAAAAACGAAAACCCAAATAACTGGGTCAGGAACCAAAATGCAAAAAGAGTAAAGTAAAGTGCTCAAAGTACTTCATTTAATGACTAAAATGAACTATTACAAACTAAGAGTGACTGGAAAAGGAAATAACCCAGGCGCTACTCTACAGCCCCAAAACGACGTTGTTTCCAGTTGGGTATAAATGCCCAAACCCAAAGCCAAAAAGGTCTAAACCAACCATTTGCTTTAAATTCACTCTCTCTCTTTAAAAGGGGAAAGCAAACTTTCCTCTGCCCTCTCTCTTCCTCTCCTCACCAAGGGTGGCCGACAGCCCCCGGCCACGGCTCACCAGAGCCCTTCGTCGCCGCCCACGACTACCAGAGTTCAAAAAATAACCCCTAAACAACCCTCTCTCCCTTCTAAAACCGGATCTAAACCCATTTTCACTTAAAAACGAGTGGATCGTTCTAGATCTAGGGATGTACATTCGACTAAACACCACCTCTCGGTGACGTTTGGTCATTCTGATGACGAGCGAGACTTCGACGAATGAGGGTAAGGCTCCTCCTTTTCTTCTTTATGTTTTCTCGTCAAAAGTGGCTCTTTCCTTTTCTCATTTTCTCAAAAACGAAAAGCCTTTTTCTTCTCCTTTTTTTTGTTGTTGTATTCTCTCTCCTGATTTTGGCTTTCGAAAAATCTTCCCTCCTATTTGTTGCCCCCGAAATCTCTCTTCTTATATCAAGAGACTTTTCCCTCTTTTTTTCATTTTTTGGTGTTGCATGCTAAGGGATTTGACTTTTGTTGGTTTTTCCTTTTTTCGGCCTTGGGTGCCCTGTTCGAGGAGTGTCGAACAGCGAGGACTAAGTCTTGATTCGGGCGGCCGTGACGCATGCAAATGATAGGGTAAATGTTTTACCTCGAGGCTTTTTGTCATTCTCTGTGGTGACTGACGAATTTCTCGGCAATAGCTGCAAGCCTCAGGAACCGGTGAGGCAGTATTAGGAGATAAAAAATCACGGGTGAGGGTTCGATCGGGCGCGTGGAGGCGTGGCTTGGCGCGTGATGGCTGAAGTATATTAGGGTAAAACCTTAGCTTGGGTTAATCTGGCCATTGGATTAGATCTGATCCAACAACTGATGTGTCTTGGCGGCTGAGGGAAAGAGACAAAACCCTAGTTGTTCATTCTCCACTCGTGGGCCATTATTGGGCTTCCTGTTTTGGACCGGTTGGGTATCATTGGTAGTGGGTTTTGTTTTGTAAATTGGGTCTGTAAAATTAAAAAAAAAAAATAGTCTAATAATAATAATAGTAAATATTAATGATAATAACCCGAACAAAACGGGTATCAATATGTGTTACATATGATTTTGAAAAAAAGTTGAAAGTTTAGGTGCTAAATGAATCAAAATTAATAATTCAAGTACTAAATGTGTAGTTTAACCAAAAAAAAAACCCACATGAATAGGATTTTAAATTAGTCAAAGCGTGTTTCACATCAATCACCCATTAACCAATGAATTTTGTGCACATTTTAGGACCGATCTTCTTTATACTGAAAACATCCAAATACCTGAATCTCGAAAGCACTCATATGATATAGATTCCATTTTTTAAAATCCAAAAGATTTTAAAGTTTGTTAATCATATAGAGAATGTTCAGTACAAAACCATGTGAACACCACGACCACTAGACCAAGCTATCACCATCGAATCCACAAAATCTCCAGAGATTACTTAATTCCCAAGAAAGTTTTGCATCATTACAGGGACATTTTCTCGAGTTCAACAACAGCTAAGTAAGGAAGAACCTGGGTTCCTGTTATTATTTCTTCAGTCTTGATTTCTTACCTTACTTTGGTTTATTTTGAGTTATCTTCTGTTTCCATTGATATATGGCTTAAGTGTGACTGTCAATGACAGCTGAACCCATGTCTTTTTCCCGTTTTCTTTTCTGCTTTGTTCTGAACAAAACCAATCAAGAACAAGCTTTATTTGTTTGCCTATGATCGAGCCAACTGCTTCCGAAAATGTCTACTTGAGATTGTTTTGATTGTAAATGTTATAGAGAATGCTAAAGTTTGTGGATTTATGTTGGTTGTACTAGACATGGGGCATATTATGTCCAAGTTTGAGTTCAAACATCGTATATTCTGTCCGTTTTATGTTTTGGATTCATGTTGAGTTGGAGAAAATTCGATATTTCAGACAGATTAAGCAACATGTTGGCTGCTCGATCAGAAGTATGGCGTTTAAAATTTACAGCTATAATGTTGTTTGGATTCGTGGTCGTCGCGGTATCGGTGCTTGTTACGGCAGAACCAAGTTTGAGTCACCGAGATTCAAGTTCCGATCAAGCCCCGGAGAACAACTATGTTCACAAAGCGTTCAAGTATTTGGAGCTTAGCAATGGACAACGTTATGAACACCAATGGCCAGTAAGACCAATATTTCTTTATGTCTTTCATGGTATGATGAATATGGGGATGTTTTGTGAGTAAACTATGGATTTTTCTTCTTTTTTTCCCCTCAGAGAATGAGATTTAGCTGGAAAATTGTGGTGGGTTCAATACTTGGATTCCTTGGAGCTGCATTTGGGAGTGTTGGAGGTGTTGGTGGAGGAGGTATTTTTGTTCCCATGCTCGCCTTAATCATTGGGTTTGATCCCAAATCATCAACTGCAATCTCTAAATGTAAGAATCCATCTATTTTCCCGATCAACGGCCCGAAGTTTCAAATTCCGTACATTTCGAACCATCATAAACCGTTTGATTTCCTTTTTTGCCTTCTGGTTAGGTATGATTACTGGTGCAGCAGTTGCAACAGTGTGCTACAACATAAGGCAAAGGCATCCTACACTTGAATTGCCTCTGATTGATTATGATTTGGCCCTTCTGTTTCAACCAATGTTGGTTCTAGGAATTAGTGTTGGGGTTGGCTTCAATGTGATCTTTGCTGATTGGATGATCACAGTTCTGCTAATTCTCGTCTTCATCGGTACGAAATGCTTCAATCCTGATGAATTCTCTTCACCTTCGCTCTCGGAAAATCTCCTTTTCTGATAGCCTATACGGGTTCACAGGCATGTCAATTAAGTCATTCATCAAAGGAGTTGAAACATGGAAAAAGGAAACAATAAAGGAAAAGGTGGTAAAATATATCTCCTTTTACAGGCCTCAGCTTATGTAATTCAACCTTACTTGTTGCTCTTCCTTGTATGATCTGATTTTCACAGGAAACTGCAAGACAACTAGAATTAACTCAACATGAAGTTACCACAGAAAACAAAGTAGTAAAACTCAAGGTAAATTTCACTCTTTTGTTTGCAACTTATCACAATTTCTTCCCTATAATCCATCACTTCCTTCTTCTTCTTCTTCTTCTTCTTCTTCTTCTTCTTCTTCTTCTCTTCTTCTTCTTCTTCTTCTTCTTCTTCTTCTTCTTCTTCTTCTTCTTCTTCAGGTGTCTCTTATTGAGAATATATGCTGGAAAAAACTTGGACTCCTAGCTATTGTTTGGATTTTAGTACTTGCTTTACAAATTGCTAAGGTCTTTCTTCCGTGATCCATTTTCCTATACAATTACAAGTTGTGTGCACTTTTAACATTCCCCAACTAAAACAAAATCCGAATGTGTTTTGAACACAGAATTATTCGACGACATGTTCGGTAGAATACTGGGTATTGAATTTCTTACAGGTACATCAGAATTTCAGAACTCAACACAGCTTAACCATGGAATCCGTGTTATGTTACTGACTAAACATTGGTTTTAGATTCCGGTGACCGTCGGCGTGTCGTTGTATGAAGCGGTGCTCCTTTACAAAGGTCGGAGAAAAATAGCATCCAAAGGGGATGTAGTGGCCAACTGGCGAGTTCACAAGCTTGTGATTTATTGTGGATTTGGTGTTTTGGCCGGCATACTTGGTGGGATGCTTGGCCTTGGAGGAGGCTTCATTTTAGGTCCTCTTTTCCTAGAGATGGGAATCCCTCCACAGGTCATTTCAATCCCTTCTCAAAGGCTTATCTGTTATTTACCTTACTTGCCTAACAAGTAACCTTGTGTAGGTATCAAGTGCAACATCGACATTCGCAATGTTGTTTTCGGCGTCAATGTCGGTGATCGAATATCATCTTCTGAAAAGATTTCCAGTTCCTTATGGTATAGCATATTGATGTGCTTGAAATGCATGATTTGGTTATAAAATATGGTAGAGATATAAATACATACACATTCACTGCAGCTGCTTACCTTGCTGGTGTGGCCACAATTGCTGCATTTGTTGGGCAACATGTGGTGGGGAAAGTCATCAAAATACTAGGGAGATCATCCATAATCATCTTTGTTCTTGCTGGGATGATCTTTGGGAGTGCCATTTCATTAGGTAATTATTTTATTCTTCTTTGGGTAAATTACATCATGTACCACCAAACTTTAGGCACTGTATCGTTTATACCATTGAACTTTCATTTTTGCCAATTATAGCATTGAACTTTAATTTTCGTTTCAGTTATACCATTGGATCGTTAAATTATTAACAACCGGATCAAAACGACTTTGTTTTAGTGAGGTGTACGTCTGCAACCGTCAGCCACATTAGCATTCGTCAGCCACATCATCGTGTCGTTAACGATTTAACGGTTCAGTGTTATAATTGAAACAAAAATTAAAGTTTAGTGCTATAATTGGCAAAATTGAAAGTTAAGTGGTATAAACAATATAACACTTAAAGTTCGATGGTATCTGATGTAGTTTACCTTTTTTTTAACCTTTTACATATTGGAATCTTTGCAATAAAATCCAATTGAAAACAACAGGTGGGTTAGGCATAGCAAAGATGATCAGAAGGATTGAAAGAAAGGAGTACATGGGATTTGAAGACATTTGCTCCTACCAGCCTTAGCATCAATTTCTGCACATTATATATTTCAACAACCAGAGTGGAACCAGGGGTTGATCAAAGGGGACGATCGATGAAAGTTGTCCTCCTAAAAATTTCAAATTATCATATATTTTAAATAATTTTTTTTATATTTTCTATTGATAATATATTTTCGTCCTTTAGAAATTTATAAATTTACACTCTTAACATAAAATCTTACATTCGTCCCTTAGAAATTTATAAATTTACACTCTTAACATAAAATCTTACATTCGTCTGCGTGAAAATGCATGTGTGCATCCCCTATCTCAATTCTCAACTCATTCATTTCCTAGTTTCCCCCCTTTTCTTTAATATATTGTATCAGTAATAAACATAAATATACTAGAATTCAAGGCCTGTTCTAGATTTAGATCTTGCCTATACACCATTATCATATATGTTATTCACTGATCTAATCGGTGATGAATCCAGAAAAATTTTATGGATTGAACCAATATAAATATAATAAAAAAATTCATCTAACATAATTCGTACATATTTTTATTTAGGGTAAAGTACCTATTTGGTCACTCACCTATACTTAATTTATATTTTGATCACTCAACTATTTTTTTTTAAATCATACCTAGCATTATGTTTTGGTTACCTGTCATTAAAAAATTAACAGTAATGCTAACGTGACATATTTTAAAATTATTTTTTCAATCTTGATATGACATTATCTTATGATGACACGTCAATATCATCGTTAATTTTTTAAAGACGAGTAACCAAAACATAACGTTATGTATGATTTAAAATGAATAATAGTTAGATAGCCAAAACAAAAACTAAATAATAAATGAGTGACTAAATAAATAATTTATCCTTTTTTGAACATGAGGCGAGTCATGGCCTAAGTAGGCCTAGGCCTAGATACGCCCTGGATCTCACTTCTATCATAAGAGCATCTATGTTTAGAGAAGAACGTGAAAATATAAAATTTTAAGATATAAAAATAGATTAGTAGTAGAAAATGTAAATCAGACTACTCGTTAAAGTTATATCACTAAATTTCATAGTAAATCATACCACGCTTACTTTCCATTCGGTTAAAATAAGATATTAATTATAGAATAAATTACTTCTACCAACTTTAAATTAGTGCGTACGTCGAGTAAGGAAACTTTGTTGGTTTTAGATTAGAGATGATCTTATAAAATTTTAGAATAACTAATAAGAAAATATAAAATGTTTTAAAATTTTTAGAAAGAGCGACTATTGTTTCCCTACCCTCCTCCCTTCGGTCCAAGCACACGATGTAAAAGAACAAAAAAAAAACCCAAAATAGAAAACTATTAATCACGTAAAATAAAAGTTGAGAGAGAGAGAGAGAGAGTGCCCCAAACAGTATTTGACTTCTCATATGTAAAGAAGTTTACGTCTTCAAAAACTAAAATAAAATAAAACTAAGATAAAACAATTTAATCTAAAGGGTAAATTATATTATTCTTCATTGAATTATACTCTCTTTCTTATTTTTCTCACCCAACTTTTAATTGTTTTTAATTTACTCATCAAATTTTTTAAATTGAATCATTTTGCTCACTCTGTTGTTAACTATTTAACGGTGTTATGATATAGCACAAAAAATAATATAAGCATCAAAACAATATCGTTTTAAAAAACTCAAATATACACCAAAATGACGTCGTTTCGAATCTATTATAAACCCTAAACAATTTAATCTAAAATGAATACATATTCTTGTCTCATATGAAAATTTAACTCATTGCAAATGCAAACCTCCATTTAAAATGAGTTCAAATTTTCTTTTTAAAGGTTTTCTATTAAAACACCAAATATTGAACAATTATTTCTCTAATTAACATTATTTTTTAATTGATTCTTAGACTGATATTCTTTTTTATCGTGTAAAATAAAGATTTCTCTATCAGAAGCAAAAAAATATTTAAAAGAAAAAAAAAACTTGCTTCATTCTATATAAAGAGGATAGAAGTACAATTCTAGTTTTTGATAAGTTTCACTAATTTTATACTTATTATTATTTATTTAATTGTTTAGTATTATATGTATATAATATTTTAAATATTAGAATCGATAAGCGAGCACATAAACGAACTTGTTCGTGAACATAACGAACCGAACACATCTCTATTTGTGTTCATACATTTATTAAATGAGCATAAAATTTATTGTTCATACTCTTTTATTTAGCTTAACGAACGAATATAAACGAATGTTATACGAACAATTCAATGAACACACTGTTCATTTACACCCCTAAATAAAAGCACAGAATCAAATTATGTCAAATTAAAGTCAATAATTAAATCTCAAAATTCATCAAAACCATAGTTTGACCAAGCTCTTGCATTTACCCTAGTAGTACAAAACTTAACAAAACACCATGATCTAGAGCAGCTACACATTTCCACCATGTCAAATGGTCTCTTCAATGACACTACAACTATTTCTAGATCAAGAACATTTCAATCACATTTGCAGAATTTTACAAGACACCATGTTACAATGCTAGGATGCTTCAACTGATTTTGTTCGGAGTAGGTATGGAGAAAACTAAACAAAATGATCATACTCGAATCGAGCCCATACTTATATCAGACACTCACACCTAAATCCGAGTAAAACATAGTTATAATGAAGCTTTTCTAGAGCACTACCATTTATCATCTACAAGGTATACATAAATTACATTAGCAATGTTCAATTTTGTGCCTTGTAATCACCAAGAACATCCATCTTAGAACATACTTACACGTCACAGAGTGATACAATTAGGTCATGGGGCGATGCCCAAATTGGAAGATCAAAATAGGTTTGCTTCAATCGCTCCTCTTGCGCATTACACATTGCTTCGGCTATGTCACACAGATTGGAAACATCACGGATTATCATTTCTTGTGCTTCTACCTGCATTTCAAGATGGTCTCAAAACTAGGGGGTAGAAACCCTAAATCCCAATAGTTATATATAACTCAATGCTAACTCTAATTCTGCTAGATAGACTGGAATTTAGCAACGAATATTAACCCCTAAAATTAGAAATGAAAGAAATAAAAGCAGTAAAATTACCTGCGAAAGAAGCTCATCAACCAAAGACGCAGAAGCGTTATCCTTCTTCTCCGACCCTGAAGACGACGCCGTTCTCTGCTTTTCTTCTGTCTCTCTCAATTTCATTCTTTCTTGCTGTTGGATTTGAAACCCTAAAGCCTTATCTTGCATTTCCTTCAAAGTTTCCGACAAAATCTCCCACTCCTCGATCTCTTTCTTGTACTTTTCCTTCACCCTGAGAAGGTTTTTCCTCTTCCACTCTCTCTTTCGCGTCTCCTCCTCCTTGGGATCCGCCGGCACCGGAGCTGGTTCGTTGAGAACGAGGCGGCGTTTCTGGCGTTTGTAAATGAAGCCGTCGTCGTTACAGAGATCCCACTCGTCGGCGGCGGTTTGAGAAGAGGAGAGTGGGTCCATTTTGGGGAAATTTGAGTGAGATGTTTGTTTTTGGCGGCGAAGTATGAGAATTTCAAAAGGGAAGACAGAGACAGAGACAGAGGAGCGTATGATTTACGCTTCTTGCAGGTTCAGCATTTATTTAATTGGACTGGGCCGGGCCGGGCCTTTAGAAAACGAAACAGATGTTGTATTACATATAGTTTAATACCTAGGCTATTATTTTTTTTTTTCGTTTTAGTATATAAATTTTATTTAGGGCAAACTATACGAATAGTTCTCTTTATTTTTTATCTGATAGAATTTGATCACCGATTCAAAAATCAAGTGCATTTGATCTCTTACGTTATCTATCGATTCGTTCTATTTGAGTTCATTGATCGTTAATTCCCGTTAACTCGTTATCGAAAACTTGAGTTTACAATTAAAAAATAAAAAGTATTTCATGTGTATTCTTCTTCTTCTTCTTAAGAAGCCCCACCCGAAACAAAACAAGGTTATATACATATAGAAGAAGCCCCACCCGAAACAAGGTTACATAAAATTGACGAAATCACTGCAGAAAACAAAACCCCATTAATGCAACGTAAATGACAGTACCCTTATATTATTCAATGATGTAAAATATCTAGTATAATCCAAAAATGACAGTACTCGATGTTAAAAACTTAGAGGCGGAGATTACGCGGAATTATTTCCGTTTACCCATATATTGGGCCTAATATCTGGTTTGGTATCTGAGCTTAGCTAAGATGTTGGGTTTGTTTTTTTTTCTCTTCCAAAAAGGTATCTAACTTTGGATTCGCTTTACTAATTGGCCCTTAAAAGTAACGGTGCACATTGGAAGACCACCATTTGATACTTGATTTTGCTTCCATATTTATTTTGATTCTTAATTTTTTTCATCTGATTAAATGTCATATTATTATTATTATTATTATTATCTCAATGAATTAACCCAATTTTTATCAATTTTTTTTGAATCTATAACAACACATAACCAAATGATCATTATAAAAAAAATAATGACATATTTTTTAATTAAAATTGATTTTATGTAGAAATATAAAATGATGTTGTTTTGGTGTAGGTTGCCATGTTTGTTAGAAAATTAACGATAAAGTGACAAAAAATTCAATCTATAAATTCCAGTGAATGAATTGAAAAAATTAAAACTACGATGAGTAAAATAAGAAATTTGTGTAATTTACCCTACAAATTTTACAATCAAACATGATATGAAAAAGTGACGTTGTATCTTAATAAGATTCATCGAATATGTGAACGATATGCATTAATAATTATTTAATAAAATTCTAAAAAAATAAAATAATCATACTAAAAAGTAGGGCAGCAACAAGGAATATGTGAATCTAAAGGGTCATTATAACCCGGAAGTTTTAAGTAAATAAAATGATTAATTCCTGATCAAACTAAAAATCATACCAAGAGTTCTAATAAAATTAATAACTAATTTTTGAATTAAATAATAATAAAATAATCAAACTAAAAAATTTAAATCTAAAATGTTTACCACGAAAGATAAAAATATATATTTAAATCTTGTACTTTTGAATTCTACTTAATATCCAATAAAAATAAGGAGTAAATAATAATAAATATATGCAATATTAAACACTAATCAAATAAGATTTTTATAGGAAGAAAAAGAAGAATAAAAAAGTAAGATTTTATAGAAAATCAAAAGTCTGTAGTTTTGAAGTAAAATTGATTTTTATGTAGAAACCCAAAACGATGTTGTTTTGGTGTAGGTTGTCATGTCATAACGCCGTTAGAAAATTAACAACAGAGTGATAAAAAAATCAATTTAGAAAGTACAATAAGTAAATTAAAAAACTTAAAAGTACAGTGAATAAAATAGGAGAGAGAATAAAATTAAGTGATGATTGGTGTAATTTACGCTACAAATTTTACAATCAAACATGATATGAAAAAGTGACGTTGTATCTTAATAAGATTCATTGAATATGTAAACGATATGCATTAATTATTATTTAATAAAATTCTAAAAAAAAGAAAATAATCATACTAAAAAGTAGGGAAGCAACAAAAAATTAGAGTTTTAATTATTTTAGGTATCTTAATTGTTTCATTATATAAAAGAGCGTTTTAGGAGTTTTAATTATTTTAGGTATCACATATATAACATTATTATTATCTCATTATTATTATAAAGTTCTTCTTTAGAGTTAAACGTCTCGACACACATCAACTAATACCATGCAAGGCAATCGAGATAGTTCGGTTACTCACTGTTGAACTTATTATAATCAGGTGAGATCATCCCTTCACTCATCATATCTCACTCATTCTATCATCTATAACTTTATGCAAGAGTTTATTAGTCTTTTAGTGTTTTATGCTCATGCAATCAATATTCGTCGCTACCCACTTGGTATATTATTTATCACTAGCAATTCACTTAGTTTAGGGTTAGTTCATTGATAACGAATCCCTAGTTGCTCTCATCACACTTCCCATTGGTTTACCATCGAACCAATAGGGTAACTTGCTCATCTTTGATTACAAGTGTTCATGTGGTACTCGGTTTTCTCTATTTCGGTCATCAAGTCTTTCATCGTCTCACTCGTTGGCACGTCTTTCGCAACATCCTTCGGTCGCAATTACACGATACATGTTCGATTGAAGAAGCTTGAAAGTATTACAAATCACGTAGGATGTTGTAAAGGTGATGAATAAGGTAGGTTAACAAAATCTTGAGAGCTGCTAGAGACTAAAGCAGCAAGCTTGAGCAACCCAGAAAGATAGCTTTTTTAAGCCTACTACCATGTCAGGTATAAGATATCTTCAATCTAAAATATGTTTTTGTTTCTTCTTACAAAAATATGATTCTTTGCTAGCTTATACCAGAAATAACAATTGAATTGAACGTATTAGTTTTTTCCCTAAAAAATGTAAAGGAATTACATTTGTCGACATCATTCAACGTAGTCGCCATTGTCACCAAAGTAACTGCCGTCAACCAATCAAATTTCTCCTAACCCATAACCAAGACAAAAACCTATCAATCCAAGAACCAAAGCAACCATTTAAACTTGACTATCTTTTAATGTTTTTAGTTGTTCTCCATCTTATTAGAGAAGCATGGAGAAGATGAACGATAATCAAAAGGTTTTCGAACGGAAAAAGGAAATAAATCAGAAAAGACTTTCGAATAGAAAAAGAAAATAAATTAAAATGTTTAGGGTTCAGGGGTTTTATCATAATGTTTCTATTTCTTTCTCAATTAGTATTGGTCTTAGTTGGGTTTTTTGAGATACATGTGTTTAGGGTTTCCCCCCAGATATATGTGTTTTATTTTTATTATGAATGCAACGGATGGACATTTATTATGTGAGCTCGAGAGGAGCGATTCATCCTTTTCGATTCAGACGAAGAGTCGCTGATGAGGGGGTCTTAACTCATGTCATTGTTCGACGACCATTTTACTTCTTTCTTTTATATTTATACTTTACTTTTCTTGAAATTTGCGTCTGTCCTAGAATCGGTTCGTAGATTGAATTCAATTAGGATTTCAGTCTCAAAGTTTGACATATTAGGTTTATTTCTTACGTTATTGATGAATACAACATAATTTTTTACAAGAATGAAAAAACCCTCATTTTCTCATACAAAATGAAGAAATTTGATAAATCAAATCAAGAATTAGATTCACGATTCAAAGTAATGGAATTTTAAGTATTGATATTCAAATTCCAATCAAAAAAGGATAATGTCCAGTACTAGATGAGGCAATTTGACGTTTCATACACCTTGATAAAACCTCCACAAATCTGGCGTACATATGCCGCTTCAGATATTGCTTTTCCACCAATTTTCGACCTTCCCGACCCATTTGTGTCCTTACCGTCGGGTTTTGCAGCAAATACCTGAGGTTCTCGGCAAGAAATCGATTCCCTGGACGCCCCATTGGGTGAAATAGCCCACTCACATTCTGCTCAACTATCTCCTTTGTGCCCCCGCCATCAGTGCCCAACACCTGTATCATGTGCTTCAATTTGTCAATAATTCCAGCTTTCCCACTAAAGCAATAAACAAAATCAGACAACGTACTTGTCTTACCGGGAGACCAAATGCCATTGCTTCAATAGTCACTCTGCCAAATGTTTCTCCTACTCCCTGTGCACATAAATCTCACATCATATCGTCTACTTTTTTATTAAAACATTTATGGTTTATGCACATTTGAAGGAGTAACATAAGATTGAAAGATGAACAATCTATCACCTGGGAGTTCATGACATAAACATCTGCTGCTGAATATAGTGATGACACGCGTGTGGTTGAAGGAGTCCAGAGTACGTTATTCGACAACTTTGAATGCTGAGACAAGAATCTTAGAATTGCTTGAACATATGGTACCTTATTGCTTTTAGATCCAACAGAACCGATGAGGATTTTAAGAGATTGCTCCTGTTTTCCTCTGGTGTCAAACAGAAAATTTGTAGAAGATACATCAACATTGCTTGGTTTCTGAAGCAAACCTCTTAAATGATGTTTTCTTTCTAAGGTTGACTGATCTAGCTTCTCATTCAATGATTCTTTAACTTCAGAATCTGTGTCCGAAGTATATTGATCAATCATAAGGTTTGCTGATTCAAGAAGTAAGAGTTGGCCCTTTCCAGCATTTATGCTACTTAGAGACATCACAAGCATGTCATTATCTTTCAACCCCATCTCTTTTCTTACTGCTTCTCGCAGTAACTTCCTATTTTCTAGCATCTTGTCCGGGCTAGCAGATGGAGTGTTTAAAGAACAAGGGATTCCGGCTACAAATGAGAGCTCGTCGTTAACGGCAAGTGGAACAATATAAGGCCAAGATCTCAACTTGATATTTTCTTCTTCACACCAGTTAAGCCACTGTTTACTCTGCAATTCGGACAAGAAAATAAGCATTTTCACCCGGTGTAGAACATACTTTGACCGATCAAAGTATTCTCTGTTGGAAATAAAACACTCACACAAACAACTTTTATTGAAACTCAAAGAAATATTACAAGAGTACTCTCACTCAAAAACAAGAACAACAACTCACTCTTATAAGACT